TGAGCTCGGTCCACTGGCCATCGAGGTATGGTCACCTGGTTCCGTTGATCTGCATCATAATGGGAACCTAGGTGCGTTTGCGTTGTCGTTGGAATGGCCGGATCGTGTATTTGTAATAGTAGTGCAGCGGTAGAGCCATTCTGATCTCATTTTCGTGGTGACGCCTCGGTTACATCTCTCTGGCCGGGCTGTGCCTGGTCGGCCAAAGTATGGGTTAGGCCGAGATGCTTGACTGTAGACAACGCGGGGCTACCCCGCCCTAATGCTTTGGCTAAGGCGTGTAGTGGGCAGCATGCTGTTTTGCCGGATGGGTGGGTCCAGGATTCGCCCATGTGGGCTGGGACTGCCCCCAGCTGTTGGTCGGCGGCAAAGAATGCTGGCCATAGCCTGATGCTTGGGTGCGGGCCGATACGCTGAGGCTGCAGCTTTCACCGTAAGGCTCGATTCTCTCGCGCTCTTGGCTCCTCGATCCGGCTATGGGAGGTATCGCGTGCGAGGTTACCGGCATCCTCTCCTGGAAAAGCGTTTGCAGCTCTGAGGAGAACCTGTCCATCGCGGCCATGAAGGATGTTTCTATCCCTAATCAACAAAAAATATTTAATTAACAATTTCGAACATGAACTTCTTTTTCAAGGGTCTTAAATTTGAGTTTGGATAGCTAGTTAGGGTTTTGGGTTTTCTACGAATCGAATACTGAAACTAAAGTGAAAATTTTCTGAAGAACTTTCACTTACATTTTCCTTTAACGCATTTTAAATCGAAGTATGATTGACACAATGTGAGAATGTGAAGGTGAAAAATGTTCCACATTAGAAAGTTAAGAAATCTAGCAATGGCTTATAAGGAGTTTGGCTACTCCCTCTATTGCCAATTGGTTTTGGGGTGGAACCTCAAGTTCTATCTGACCAAATGTAAACAAATTTATTCTTCACAATAAACTGTAGTCCAAGACCCGAAAGGTACAAAGATAAACAAAGCAAATGGAACACACATCTTGTTGCCCCATTTCTTGCATATTCATCTCAACGCTTCTTTGTCAACGAGATAACCAGGTTAATGAACTGGCAGTTCTCCCTTTCCATGTGATCAAGAACATATGCTTCAACCCCACGAAACAAATCATCCATCGCTTCTTCTCCGAATTGGCTCGCCAGAATCGGCTCTGCCGCAGCCCTTATGTCAGTGGCAAATTTTGCAGCCCTTGTGTCTGCCGCGCAAATCTCACGACCTAGAGTTCTGGGCCGAGGGGATATGCGTTGACACGCGGCTTCCTGCTTTTGGGTGCAGTGCGGTTGTGCGCGGGACCGTGCGTCGAGATGTTGATGAGTGTAGGATGGATAAGTGGTGCGCCTGTTTGAACTCGTCTTCTAATCAAATGATTGTAGCCGAGA